TTTTCAGTGCAGCATCACCATATTCAGTTTAAGGCCCCTTCCTCCTCCACCAACTTCCTTCTCCTTTTCTGCACAAATTTTCACCTCTTCTCCAAAAACAAAGCTTCTGGGATTGTCATTCTATCCAAAAACAAAATCTACTCCTTACTATAAAACTAAATAAAAGCATAGGGAGAAGCATTACCTCAAACCCACTAGGGTAAATGACCTTGCAAGAGATCAGAACAGTGGGCCTCCAACCAGGTGTTTTGGTGTGAATAGGTTCCAGCTGCTGTAATCACAAACAACAACTGTGCCCCCTTGATGTCCCATGACCTTGAAAGTTCCTGAGACCAAATACTAAGGAGACAGGATATATGTAAATAGACTGTTAGGATGCCACCAGGAGCCTCGAAGCAGGAGTTATCTGTCACAAACAAGACCAACAAAAGAAGGGACCATCTGCCCTATCAGCAAAACCTTGAAGAACCATCTGGGAAGCATCAACTAAGTGTGAGGAAATGAGGGGAAAGGTAATTCTGGCTGGGGACAGCACAACCACTGATGTCCGACCCAAAAGAAAGAGGGAGTGGTGCATGCACAATTTCTAAAAGTTGCGTAAGACAAGCCAACCAATCCTGAAATAGCTGAATTATAATATGCAATAGATAGGCAGAATGTGTTAACACCAACTATATAAATAATGAGTATACTGAGCTGTTGGATGTGCTAGCTTTGTGGAGTTACCACCTAGCACTCATCTCTGTGCAGAAATGAAATAAAGAAATACCTCAGCCCTGTGTAGACAATTGGCTTACTGCACACCAGGTGATGGACCCTGTTTTAGGGACAATACACTGGCCTACGTAAAGCAGCATTTAGAGACTGGCTGCTCTTGGAGTGCGCGGCTCTGCAGAGAAGGACCTGGGCGTTGTGATGGACAACAAGTTGACCATGAGGCAGCAGTGTGCCCTCGTGACCAAGAAGGCCAATGGCATCCTGGGGTGCATTAAGAAGAGCATCTCCAGCAGGTTGAGGGAGGTGATCCTGCCCCTCTACTCAGCCCTGGTGAGGCCACATCTGCAGTATTGTGTCCACTTCTGGGCCCCACAGTACAAGAGGGATGTGGAGCTGCTGGAGAGAGTCCAGTGCAGGGCTACAAGGATGAGGAAAGACTGAGACAGCTGGGCCTGTTCAATCTGGAGAAGAGAAGGCTGAGAGGGGATCTAATCAGTGTATATAAGTACCTCAAGGGAGGCAGTGAGGAGGATGGTGCTGGCCTCTCTTCATTGGTGGCCACCGACAGAACTAGAGGAAACAGACAGAAACTGAAGCATCAAAACTTCCACAGGAACTTAAGGAAAAATTTCTTAACAGTAAGGGTGACAGAGCACTGGAACAGGCTGCCCAGAGAGGTTGTGGAGTCTCCTTCTCTGGAGATCTTCCAAACCCGCTTAGACGCAGTCCTGCGCCACGTGCTCTAGGTGACCCTGCGTGTGCAGGGGGGTTGGACTAGATGACCTTTAGAGGTCCCTTCCAACCTTAAGCATTCTATGATTCTATGAAAAACAGCAATACCTTTGTCACAGGTGTTCTTTTTATCAATGAGCTGACAAAACTGTTCTTGCTTTGCCAGTAAATACTACTCCAAGGCCCAGAAGAGATTTACATAGAATGTAAGCCACAAACAAGGCAGAGTACTCTCCCCTATCTGCTGCTAGGAGAAAGCACAGCATGGCCTCTCACATCTAATTTCCCCCTTTCAGTCACATCCACTATCAATGCAATTTTTTAGCATATATTTAAGAATTCAGTAGTTTCTTTACAGAAGAAAAAAAAAGAAAAAAACACACACACACATACACACAACACCCACCCCCATACCCACCAACAAAAATCCTTCAAACTGACAAAGTCTGACAGAAACACAGCTAGCGCTATGACAAAATAAAATGTTTCAAGAACTGTGTGTGTGTGGTCGGCTTGGCTCACAAGCAAGTCTGGACAGTTTAATACCTAAAAGAATGTAAAATCTCATACCTAAGAGGTGTTTGTTCAAACTCAGTCACTGACTAACATTTTTAAATCATTTTAAAAGTATTTTTAAAAGGCATAAAGGTCATGTATCTAGTCTGGCTCTATCTCTTGGCCACTTATCAGATGGCTCTTTGTGGGTCTATGTATTCTTAAGTCACAGAAACTAGACAAGCTTTGACTTGTTTCTCTCTCTCTCTCTCTCAGTCTTTCCCTGTCTCTTTCTCTATATATACCTGTCTCAGTCTCTCTCAATCTCTAGATATTTCACTCTCAGTCTCTCTCTCACCACCTCTCTATGTGTCTCTCGCTTGCTTGATCTTCGTTTCTCTCTGTGTGTCTCTCTCTCCTCTTTTTCTCTCTCAGTCTCTCTCTCTGTAGAGGAATAGGATGTGGAAGAATATTGAGGAGATAGGCAATGGGGACTGGCCAGACTGTTCTAGGGCACGCTGACCTAACTGTGCTATACTCCATGCTTGGCTTATGGCCATATCATGTACACCACACACCCCGCCTCCACTCGTTATTGTACACTGTACCACCTGATGCTTACATGCTGTTTACCTGCTATTAGCACCAATTGAATTGTAACACGGGACAATCATGCACTTAGTAGTTGTTTAAGAGCATAAATTCCCCTTCCCCCTGCTCCTCACCATGAACCAGTGATCAGCGGTGCCTGGAATCTCCCCGTCTCTTCCTCTCGACGGGAAACTGGGGAGCCCCCATGCAGAAGCGGAGTTAATAAAAGTCTTAATTTGACCACTGTGTGCCTTGTGTTTGTGTGCCTGCTCCCATTGGGTGCTCGGGCAACTGCGTCGCCCCATCCCTTGCACTCTCTATTTCACTCTCTTTCTTGGTGTCTCTCTCTCCCACAGTCTTTCTCTCTTTCAATATGTAGGCATTTCTCTCTCTTGGTCTGTCTATATAGCTAGTGGCCATGGCGCATCAGGAAACCTATGTTGCCATCACTGAAATGTGGTGGGACCACTGTCGTGGCCAGAGTGCTGCAATGGATAGCTACAGGCTCTTCAGAAGGGACAGGCAAGGAAGGAAAGGAGATGGGGTAGCAATGCATGTTAGGGAAGGCTTTGATTGCATGGAGCTTCAAGTGGGTGATGGAAAAGTCGAGTGCTTATGGGTCAGGTTAAGGGGGAAGGCCGACAAGGCTTATATCTTGGTGGGAGTCTGCTATAGACCACCCAGCAGGAACAAGAGACAAACGAGGCATTCTACAAGCAGCTGGCAGTAGTCTCACGATCGGCAGTTATCTTCTGTGGCGAATGATTACACGGACCTCAATTTGTAGTTAATCAGACTTGGAATCCTTTATTGGAATCCTCCTTTATTGGAATCCATTATAGCCGACCCATTCGACCCCGCCTTGCTCCACTGAACACCTTATATATTAACACCATTTCTGCTAGAGCCAATCAGCTCTCTCTCCCTCTTGCGTGTGTGGTCTGTCCCTCTCGTTTTTTTCATTGTCTCTCACACGTTCTCTCTCTATCCCTCATTCTTTCTTGTTCTCTCTTTCTGTCTTGGGCTTTCTCTCTCTCTCAGTCTCTCTCTCCCTTGCTCTCTATCTCTCTCATTCCTTTCCTCTTTCTCTCTTAGTCTCTCTCTCCCCCCTCCTCCTCTCTCTCTCTTT